ATTATCGGACGAGCACTAAGTAGGTAATAAAGTTTTCAGTCATAAAGGACGCGTTTACAAAATTGATAGGTATAGAATCGAACTACTACATTGACACGGGTCACACACACAAGTGTACGCACGGTTGGCTGCGGGAATCGTAGTCAAATAAAATTATTTTGATAATTTGAAAAAAAAAGTTACCTAAATAGCTGTGGACTTTGGACTGGTTTTGTCAGTTATAATAAGACCTTACCTACCTCCGGTCTTGATGGAGTGACCAGAAGGCGTAATTCGGTGATTACAACTGGAACTCCTAGATAATACTACTATTAGGTGTGCCGAGTTTGGGCTCGTTTGGTTAGATATAATGAGACCCTACCACCGGACTTGATGGAGTGACCTGAAGGTGTAATTCGGTGATTACGCCTGGAACTCCTAGACTAGTAGTACTAGGTGTGCCGAGTTTGGGTTCGTTTTGTTAGTTATGATGAAACCTTACCACCGGACTTGATGGAGTGACCTGAAGGTATAATTCAGTGATTACAACTGGAACTCTTAGACAAGTAGTACTATGTGTGCCGAGTTTGGGTTCATTTTGTTAGTTATGATGAGACCTTATCACCGGACTTGATGGAGTGACCTCAAGGTATAATTCGGTGATTACAACCGGATCTCCTAGACTAGTGGTACTAGATGTGCCGAGTTTGGGCTCGTTTGGTTAGTTATAATGCGACCCTCCCAGCGGACTTGAGGGAGTGACCTGAAGGGTTAATTCTGTGAATACAACTGGATCTTCTAGACTAGTAGTACTAGATGTGCCGAGTTTGGGCTCGTTTGGTTAGATATAATGAGACCCTACCACCGGACTTGATGTAGTGACCTGAAGGTATAATTCGGTGATTACAACTGGAACTCCTATACTAGTAGAACTAGGTGTGCCAAGTTTGGGCTCGTTTGGTTAGTTATAATGAGACCCTACCACCGGACTTGATGGAGTGACCTGAAGGTGTAATTCGGTGATTACAACTGGAACTCCTAGACTAGTAGTACTAGGTGTGCCGAGTTTGGGTTCGTTTTGTTAGTTATGATGAGACCTTACCACCAGACTTGATGGAGTGACCATCAGGTCCAGTGGTAAGGTCTCATAATAACTAACTAAACGAGCCCAAACTTGGCACACCTAGTTCTACTAGTATAGGAGTTCCAGTTGTAATCACCGAATTACACCTTCAGGTTACTCCATCAAGTCCGGTGGTAGGGTCTCATTATAATTAACCAAACGAGCCCAAACTTGGCACACCTAGTTCTACTAGTATAGGAGTTCCAGTTGTAATCACCGAATTACACCTTCAGGTCACACCATCAAGTCCGGTGGTAGGGTAGCATTATAAATAACCAAACGAGCCCAAACTCGGCACATCTAGTACTAATAGTCCAGGAGATCCGGTTGTAATCACCGAATTATACCTTGAGGTCACTCCATCAAGTCCGGTGATAAGGTCTCATCATAACTAACAAAATGAACCCAAACTCGGCACACTTAGTACTACTTGTCTAAGAGTTCCAGTTGTAATCACTGAATTATACCTTCAGGTCACTCCATCAAGTCCGGTGGTAAGGTTTCATCATAACTAACAAAACGAACCCAAACTCGGCACACCTAGTACTACTAGTCTAGGAGTTCCAGTTGTAATCACCGAATTACACCTTCAGGTCACTCCATCAAGTCCGGTGGTAGGGTCTCATTATAACTAACCAAACGAGCCCAAACTTGGCACACCTAGTTCTACTAGTATAGGAGTTCCAGTTGTAATCACCGAATTACACCTTCAGGTCACTCCATCAAGTCCGGTGGTAGGGTCGCATTATAACTAACCAAACGAGCCCAAACTCGGCACATCTAGTACTACTAGTCTAAGAGTTCCAGTTGTAATCACTGAATTATACCTTCAGGTCACTCCATCAAGTCCGGTGGTAGGGTGTCATCATATCTAACAAAACGAGCCCAAACTCGGCACACCTAGTACTACTAGTCTAGGAGTTCCAGTTGTAATCACCGAATTACACCTTCAGGTCACTCCATCAAGTCCGGTGGTAGGGTCTCATTATATCTAACCAAACGAGCCCAAACTCGGCACACCTAATAGTAGTATAAGAGTTTATATTAGTATGCGGCACTAGTATGCAATGGGTTGACACATTGTTTTGTAATAATGAATAAAAGTAATATTTTTAATATCACTGGAGATGAATAACGTACGCGGCCGTAAAGTATGCACATCGAGATTAAGTAAGACTCGGTCACAAACTGCAAGCTTCGGCTTTGTAGCGCTTCGTCTCTGTCACTCTCGAGACGTCATTGTTTTTTTTTTTATAGAATTAGGTTGACAAACGCGCACACAATTCATCTGATTGTAATATAGATTCAGTGGCCCATAGACATTTTCAAGTGGTAGCGGGAGACTTGTGAAGAGTAAGGTAAGTCGGCACTGCGACTGCCGCCGGAGCAAGCATTAGCCTCTCTCGCGCAGCCGTCTTAAGCGACGAATACGTCACGTATTTGATATCAACCTACTATTCTCATGTAACAAGTTTAATACTTTATTCAATACTTGCGATCCTGTGGTCCAAGTGATTTCTGGATCTTACGGGCCTATTATACCTCAGCTCAAATTCGAATTTCGCCTCCACTTTTCCGCGCCACTCGTTCGCATACTGTACGAACTCGTTCGCACACTGCGTGGCTCGAGGTCACGCGGGAATACGAGGCCAAAACGATTTTGTTAGAGTGAAATAAACCATTATCGGACGAGCACTAAGTAGGTAATAAAGTTTTCAGTCATAAAGGACGCGTTTACAAAATTGATAGGTATAGAATCGAACTACTACATTGACACGGGTCACACACACAAGTGTACGCACGGTTGGCTGCGGGAATCGTAGTCAAATAAAATTATTTTGATAATTTGAAAAAAAAAGTTACCTAAATAGCTGTGGACTTTGGACTGGTTTTGTCAGTTATAATAAGACCTTACCTACCTCCGGTCTTGATGGAGTGACCAGAAGGCGTAATTCGGTGATTACAACTGGAACTCCTAGATAATACTACTATTAGGTGTGCCGAGCTTGATGGAGTGACCATCAGGTCCAGTGGTAAGGTCTCATAATAACTAACTAAACGAGCCCAAACTTGGCACACCTAGTTCTACTAGTATAGGAGTTCCAGTTGTAATCACCGAATTACACCTTCAGGTTACTCCATCAAGTCCGGTGGTAGGGTCTCATTATAATTAACCAAACGAGCCCAAACTTGGCACACCTAGTTCTACTAGTATAGGAGTTCCAGTTGTAATCACCGAATTACACCTTCAGGTCACACCATCAAGTCCGGTGGTAGGGTCGCATTATAAATAACCAAACGAGCCCAAACTCGGCACATCTAGTACTAATAGTCCAGGAGATCCGGTTGTAATCACCGAATTATACCTTGAGGTCACTCCATCAAGTCCGGTGATAAGGTCTCATCATAACTAACAAAACGAACCCAAACTCGGCACACCTAGTACTACTTGTCTAAGAGTTCCAGTTGTAATCACTGAATTATACCTTCAGGTCACTCCATCAAGTCCGGTGGTAAGGTTTCATCATAACTAACAAAACGAACCCAAACTCGGCACACCTAGTACTACTAGTCTAGGAGTTCCAGTTGTAATCACCGAATTACACCTTCAGGTCACTCCATCAAGTCCGGTGGTAGGGTCTCATTATAACTAACCAAACGAGCCCAAACTTGGCACACCTAGTTCTACTAGTATAGGAGTTCCAGTTGTAATCACCGAATTACACCTTCAGGTCACTCCATCAAGTCCGGTGGTAGGGTCGCATTATAACTAACCAAACGAGCCCAAACTCGGCACATCTAGTACTACTAGTCTAAGAGTTCCAGTTGTAATCACTGAATTATACCTTCAGGTCACTCCATCAAGTCCGGTGGTAAGGTTTCATCATAACTAACAAAACGAACCCAAACTCGGCACACCTAGTACTACTAGTCTAGGAGTTCCAGTTGTAATCACCGAATTACACCTTCAGGTCACTCCATCAAGTCCGGTGGTAGGGTCTCATCATAACTAACAAAACGAACCCAAACTCGGCACACCTAGTACTACTAGTCTAGGAGTTCCAGTTGTAATCACCGAATTACACCTTCAGGTCACTCCATCAAGTCCGGTGGTAGGGTCTCATTATATCTAACCAAACGAGCCCAAACTCGGCACACCTAATAGTAGTATTATCTAGGGAGTTCCAGTTGTAATCACCGAATTACGTCTTCTGGTCACTCCATCAAGACCGGAGGTAGGTAAGGTCTTATTATAACTGACAAAACCAGTCCAAAGTCCACAGCTATTTAGGTAACTTTTATCTCTTTTTTTTTTCATAAAGTTGCACCACACTCGATTTCTCCTGAATCGTAGAGGGTGCGATTACAACCACAAAATTTCACATACAGAAACACCTGTGACTAGTAGCGCAACAACCAATCGCTTAGCCACTGCACCAAACCTGTCATATGCTAAATTTCTACATAATATTTGTAATCACTGATACTGTAAGTAGATAGGTCGGTGGATACTTACTTCATTAAGTTTATCATACGCTTCTTATTTTTATTACTCTTATTTCCCATTGCGCCAACACCATAAACATAAGTGTCTATTTTAATATTTTAATTTTACGTCGTCCTGTTGCGTAATGTGTGTTCTGAGCACAAGCGACACAACCCTTCCCTTCAAAAGCCGGAGCTAGAGTGAATGACTGGTGAATGACGGCAGTGTTGCCGTTTTGTAAATGAAAAAAATGCTAGACTTTGGCGGTGATAATGCTAAAAAAGTGCTAAATCACACTTGAATATGCTAAAAAATATGCCAGCTGCTAAGTCTTGTTTAAATGAATAAGAAATGAAAATAAATTGCAAGTAGGTAGTGTAACTAAAAACGCAGTGCTATTTTAAAGTAAATTTAATCATCAAGATAAGTCAAATAATATTTTTGTAGATCATCAATATCAGATTCGTCGTGTACTTGTGCTTGTGATGTTGAAGGGCCATCTTCAAAAGCAGTAGTCATTGGCATCACAAGCGACTCTTTAATCCCTCTAATCTGTTTTAAAACATGTTCAGGAACGTTATAGGAATGACAACATTTTCCTGATCTTTTAAGGCCATATCTGATGTGTAGGATCGAGTTCAGAGTATGTAGTGACATACGATTTCTTAATTTTTTTTTTACAATATTCATTTGGCTGAATACTCGTTCTATCTCAGCATTCGAGTGTGGCAAAGAAAGAATAGATATGGCCAAAGAAGCCAACTCCGAAAATGGATTATTATCCGCCGAGTCTTTGTATTCATGAACCTCCGACCAAAATTCGACAGTTGAACATTTATTTTCCCAGTCGGTATGTTGAATATTTCTCCACTGTATAACTATACGTTCAATTTCATTGGCCTGGCAGCCGAATTCTTGTGCGAGTTCTATTATTGGTGGTTTTGTAGCTTTTAAAGTTTCTTGTACAGAAATCATATTCATTGTTCGTAATATCTTTACATTTGTTGGCAACCTTGATCGCATTTCTTGTACAAGTTTAAGTGTAAACTGCTTACAGCGGTGCCGCAGATTACGTTCGGCCTCAGGTAAAAGTTCATATTCAGTCAGCTTCAGTTCAAAACCATAGCCCATGTATGGAGATGGGTCTAGATAGCTTTCAAGATTTGTAGCTGTCAACACATCAATTCGCGCTGTTGGCAATATGATTCTTCTGGCGACTGATTCAACCAGTTCAACCAAATCATTCAGCAGTTTAGTCGGGTCTCGGTCGTTGCTTTCAAAATTTTTATTTACCCTTTGCACTTCATCTAGCATAGGCAATAAATATAGCAGATACAGATGATTCACAGGATCGTTATACATAGAATAAAGCATTTCAGCCATATAGCAATGTTCTTTTTGTTTGACAATATAACCCGGCGGACAGCAGGCTCAATAGGCAACCATCGCGTACTGCATACCTGAGTTATTTTCAAAGGTTCTTTTCCACAGTTAATGGTCTTGTATAGCTCCTTGTAAAACAACTGTCGGTTGGAGGAATGGCTAAACCAATTATATGTTTCTCGGATTAAAAACTCAATATTTCTCGGAAGTGACTCCTCAGACGCATGTGTGATAATTGCAGGGAATGGCAAAGCCACCGCACCAAAACCAGATTTTCATTGCCAGTTTCAGTTTTAAATAAGCTGTGAACAAAGTTCTGCAAAAAGAGTCTTGAGGCCGTTTACTATAGCATCAGCTGTCCCGTTTTCTATGTTAACCAATCCTAAAAATGTATATTTTTATGTGAACTGTCATAATATCGGATTGATGTGCCGAGAATTTTTGTGACTGAGATGTCTGTGTATTCGTCAACCAGTATACTAAACTTAATATGGCCTATGTCTGCAACCAGTTCTGAAATAAAGTGTGGTGCAAATGCATATTTAATGATGTTGGTACATTTCGTTCGGTGTAATTTAATATCAGCACTTCGACTATCATAAAATGTTTTTTTATACATTTCGGACAAGTGGTCCACTGTTAAAGTAGATGCATGTTTAAATAACGCAAGTGAACACTCTGCTCTTTGGGTATCTAGTTGAATATGCACCTTAGGAAAATCAATTTTTTTGACTTTTTTCCGGCACAACATGTTTCGCACGTTTTGATGTACCAATGTGTTGTTTTAAACAGGATACTTTACACAGTATTTGCAGTAAGCTTTGGTCGAATCTTCTTTAGCTCGTGTAAGCCATTGTTTAAACTCACTCATCTTCTCCCATTCTTCTCGATAATGTTGTTCATATTTTGGAGGCATATTATCCCTCCAAAGTCAATTGTAAACTACTTTTAAAGCACACACACAAAACAAAAGCACAAACGTTTATTTTAAAGCTATTACAAGTATTGGTACTTGCACTTGTTGAGTAATGGTCCGAATGCGAAAGAATCAAAACATTACACATTGCTTACTCGGAAAATAAACAAAATCTTTCACTATTCGGGAAAGTCCCCAAATCATAATATAGTTGCCATAATAATCAATCACAGTAACAATTTTAAATTTTTTGTCTATGGGTTTAGTTAAATCTTTTGCACAGAGTAAATATTGAGTGAACAGTGAGATATGGCAGTGAGTATAAACAATTTGTCTATCCCATAAAAAGAATTGAAATCACTAGTACGTAAAATTCGAAAAATGCTAAAATATGCAATATGCTAAAGCCAATTGTTTCATGCCAACAGGTTTAAAAATATGCCAAATTTAGCATTAAAAATGCCACATCGGCAACACTGAATGACGGTGGTCGGTCGGCAGCAGGGTGCCAGATCAGATTTCCGAAAATACTGTGTTGTCCACATTAAATTACGGTGTTTTAGAGAAAAATACAGTGTTTTATGAAAAAAATAATACATTGTAATTAAATGACGTATTAAAAGGAAATAATTTTTTAATGAACCAAAATATGCATTTATATTAAATATACTATACTCAAACTAACTAAATATCTAAGTATTTTAATACACAAAGTAGTTTAATCACTGTCACTGTCGATTGCCTCCCATTTTTTGTAAATTTCAGAGGTAAAAGATTTTAGCATCTTGTCAGTTGGCAGAAAATTTACACAGTTGCCGCCATGACGACAAATGGCCTGTTTTGCCAACATGTTGCCCTTAATTGTTTCTGTAATTAATCTATTTCTGTTCTTAGTTCTTGTGTCATTTATTGGGCTGAACACCCTTTCACACTCTGCGTTAGAATTCGGAAGAGCCAAAATGTTCAGCATAAACTGGGCAACCAAACTGAACTCTTCAAACTGCTTAACCTAAAATGCAAATATATTACAAATAAGAAAAAATATATAGAAAGTCCAAAACTTGTAACTAATAAAATGCTTTTTACCTTGTGCCAAAATATATCGGGTTGTTGGCTTGTATCCAAATCTTTCTTCAGTTTCGGCAATTTTCGCCACTGATCGTCTATTTGTTGTTCTGCTAAAGAAGTTGGTGTCAATCTTGGCAGTAATTTAAAAAGTACATGAAGAGATTCGTCTCGCCGTGAGTCATCCAAACAACTTTCAGGATCCAATTTGGAAATCGAACTCAGGACAGGATCATTGAGTGCATATCTTTTGCGAATTCCTACGCAAGCTTGTATCAAGAAATTTCGGGAATTTTTCTTTATTACCTTTTTTTTGTTTTTTTTTTAAATCTGCACATATTTCTAGTTTTTCGGAAAATCCCAGTAAATTGTTAATTACGGCCTGAAGTTTTGTCCGCTTCATTTTCAACTTTTTTGCTATGTCTGAGTCGGGAAATATAATGGGTAATAAGTCAATTACGAGGGTGGATTGAAAAGTACTCGGCCTAACCAAGAAAATAAACACATACTAAATCAGTTATATTTTTATTTTTCTACGTAATCACCATCAAGTTCAATACACTTTTGCCACCTCCCCTTCCAAGCATTTAGACCGTTGAAAAAAAAAATGATTCTTCCTTAGAGTCAAAATATGCGTCTACAGCTGCTTTGACCTCGTCGTTTGTCGAAAATCTTTGACCTCCCAAGTGCTTTTTTAGGTTAGGGAACAGAAAGAAGTCTGATGATGCCAGATCAGGTGAATACGGCGGATGCGGTAACAGTTCAAAGCCACAGTTGTGAATTTCAGCCATTGACTGTACTGACGTGTGAACACGGGCGTTATCTTGATGAAACAGGACTTTTCTTCTGAGCATTCCTCGACGTTTTTCTTTTATTTCCTCTCGTAAACGACGTAGTAAGGTTTATATAAAGATTGATATTAAAGATTGAAAGGGGTCAGACTATAATCAGAGTTTATAGTCTGACCCCTTTCAAGATAATCAATCATAATCACACCTTTCGAGTCCCAGAATACTGAAGCCATCACCTTATTTGCCGACAAAATCGACTTAGCCTTTTTTAGGGGGTGGTGAACCAGGTCTTCTCCACTGTTTTGATTGTTGTTTTGTTTCCGGTGTACAGTAATGAACCCATGTTTCGTCCATAGTAACAAAACGATTCAAAAAATCATCTGCATCGGCTTCAAATAACTCCAAACAGTCGCGTGAAATAGTCAATCGCGTCCTTTTTTGTTCAACTGAAAGCAGTCGCGGAACCCACCTCGCAGACACCTTGTGGAAACCCAACTCGTTGACAATGATGTTTTGAGTTCGTTCATAAGAGATGCCTATAATCTCGGCTATCTCTCTAATTTTTAATCTGCGGTCTCCCATTATTAAATCAAGTACTTTTTTAATATTTTCGTCAGTAGTTGACGTCGAAGGCCTTCCAGAGCGGGATTCATCTTTCACACTCTCTCTACCACGCTTAAATCCTGCTATCCATTTTTTGACGGATGAATATGGCAGAGCACAATCGCCTAATGTACTGACCATGTCATCATGGATGGCTTTTGATGATAGCCCCTTCTTATGGAGGTACTTAATGACGGCACGCTGCTCGATTTGCTCCATTCGCGGAAATTATGTCCGATTACTTTGTTAATAAATTTATAAAATCACAACTAATTATCGCACACGTTTCGAACTTCACACAATGAACTAGTCTGAACTGAACTAAATAATGTGGGTAGATTTGATTTTTAGAATTGAATGGATCTGTGTTAGGCCGAGTACTTTTCAATCCACCCTCGTAAATGGTCCATCACTTTGTGTGAGATTTTGTGTTCCGCCATGAATGCCGCCAACTTAATTTCAGCTGTTTTTCGTTTCTCTTCATCAGATTTGAATATTTTATTTTCAAAAATTGCAGAAATTGAGGGCTGCGATGATGATGACATTGGTTTAGTTTTTTTTATGTGCTTGATTCCTTCACTGTGCCTCTTCAAGGCCACTCTGTCTGCGGACTATTTCGCCTCACACATTACGCAAATAGCACGGTACGGGTCTTTTGGATCACGTTGAAGCCAAGTCTTAAAGTTCGTGTCACTCAGCCATTCATCTCTAATTTTTTGTTTATAATGTTTTTTTATTTTTTTAGGAGTTGATGGACCACTCTCACTTTCTGTAGAACTATCTCTTGCGCGAGACATAATTTCCACAAAAATATCACGATTTACACTTAAAACTTAATTTAAATTACATCAGAAAATATTTAAGCGTAATATTTTAGAACTAGGTACTAAGACGATATACCGGACAATTTAAACGACACATCAATAACAATAAAACAACACTGTGGCATATCCAACTTCATTTACCTGAATAATACCGTCTATGGTGCGGCCGATACTGGGAATTCGCCAATTCCTCGATGGAATACCATGTACTCTTTTGTTTTGTTCGTCGGACGTATTCGTCGCATTCATAATTTACGATATTTTTCATAAGTAGCGTTCATTATAAAACGAAATTTTGTTTTTGGTTGAAAAAAAAAATACTATGTCTCCATACACTGTATTTATAAAAATACGGTGTCCAGTAGACGGCGTTAAAATACGGTAGATCTACTATAATTACAGTGTATCTGGCAGCGCTGGTCGGCAGGGAACAAACTTTAAAACGACGATAGTTTAGGTAATTTCTTCTTACGGTGAAAGTAATGATAAATAAAAAGAAGTAAATAACATAAGCCCTGCTTTTATACTTAGTTCAGTTAGTATGCAAAGTTTCATGATTTAATTTTAAGTATTTTTACTTATTACCAGCGGTTTATAGTTCGGTTTGGAGGTAACTTTGGATTTTTTTCTATCGAGAAAAGTTTATGGGATCGTGTTTTCATCTAACATATTAGTACTTAACATTAATCATCAACTTCACCATATATTTATTTCAAAAACAATGCTGCAGTATTTTCGGCATAACAGAGGATCTTGCTAAGCCATTTGAAGTAGTATGCGCCTTTAAGCACATAAGAAATTTTATCAGAATCAGTCGAGCGATATTATATACATAATACTTGAGTTTTAAATATATGTATATAGAAATAGTATATATTTAAAACTCAAGTATTCGTTATTGAAGAGCATCACCCTAGGCAGCTTTCGGTAAAAACAGACTTGTGTTGTAACCCTTGAAAACTAAGGTGAAGCGACTTATTTCCAGTAAAAAGGGTCTCCAGTTCTCTACACTCACTATATGAACTAGCAGCATTATGCTGCTATTTATTTTATTCAGTTTGGTCTCAGCTACTGGCAGGTATATCTCTATACCTTGCATTAATCGGCCAAATATGCAGAGAATGTCAGAATAAGTAATAAAGGCGAAAGGTGAAGAAAAATTAATTTAAAAAATCACAAACATGTCCTTTCTATCTTTTAAATTCAAAAAGCGTCGCAATGCATTGATTTAACTGATTTTACAGCGCACGCACACATTCCTAAGGGTTGATCGGTCAGTAAATACTCTTACGTACTCTGCAATAACGGTATATCGTTATTTATATATTTGAACTAAAGTTTGAAATTTTTTTGCTGTTCGTTAGTCTAAAACTCAAAAACGACAATAGGTTTTGATAAGTTTTTCTGTATGTGTTTGAATGGTTCTCTGTATGGAGTGTAGAAGTAAGGAGTACCAACTACCATAGTAGAATAGTTGAAAAAGTGGTGATCTGTAAGCAGTAAATAACAGTTCAAAAACTCTCCACAACAGCGCTGGAGTAGCTACTGGGATGAAATGAACTTAGCAGTTGTCGCCGGTTTAAGTGTGCTGCTAAACTGATCAGTAGCTCTAAAATAATTTTATTTAGTAAATGTAACCTCGAAAAAGTCGTCTATCCCACTAATATTTTTCGGTGCGTTCTTTAAAATTTACCCCGTAGCTATAGTGGCGCCACCCTTATTCAAAGGTTTTTATGGACACTTTAATACACAGTCTGTACTCCTTAGTTCTACACTCCATAGTTCTCTGGATGATTTAGATTCACAATTTGAGCCGGTAGGTGACGCAGTTGTCGAGATCCAGAAAATACCCTCGCGAACTCGGAGGTGAATCGCTAGGCGTAAATAGTTCTAAATCTGGTAATACATTTTTTAGGCTATATTTTTTTCTTATTCAAAAGCACGTGATTGTTTTACAATCTTAATACATAGAGTAAACTGTTTGATGTGACAGAGATGAACTACAAAGACATATTTTTATCGTAACTTCTAAAGCGAGGTAGTGTATTATTACGGCTGGGTATTAACGATGATATGAATGTACTTTGTGTATTTTTTGCAATCAAACTTTTAATACAATTTTAGCAAACGGACCATACTACAACTAGTGCCATATCAAGTTTATATAGAGTTGTTATGTTTGGAAATAAACACGGTTTGAATTTTTTATCTGTTTTATTGAAATATCCTTTCCTTACAAATACAACACGTACGAATTAACTTGAGACTCCGCTGGAATGCGACCCCCTTCCCGACTCCCCGCACCGCGTCCTGCGCTGGCCGTGCGCGCTCAGTACCGATAGCATTTTTGTCGCCTGTTATGCTTTGTATTTTTATTGTGTACGAATCTGTAATACTTTTTATAGTGCAATAAAGTGTATAATAAATAAATTAATAATATTATAAATGAGAAAGTGTGTATGTTTATTTCTTTGTCCTTCCTTGACGCGTTAACTAAAAATAATATTATAATATATTATAAAAAATAAATATTTAAAATATATAAAAATGGCAACAGTATATCACTTATTACTTCACCCCTTGCCAGAACATTTTATTTTGTTTTTATTAATAATCAAATCTCAAAAATTTCAAATAAAAAAATATTACGACGCATTATTTTGCACACCGTACATTGACAATTACGTCATCGGCCCAGGTCTCAAGTTAATTTGTACGAGTTATAGTTAAACAAATTACATTGTACGTTTTATCACAAATGTCTTGATTTCTTATATTTACGCGAACACTATACATTGATTAAAACTACTTTTACGGATTTTATCGCGTTTTATTTATATTAATTTTAATACCCGACATTTCGGGTGCTTTCCAGCACCCATGGTCACGGGGGACTGAGGTGACTGACGTCCCGACGTCAAAGTTAACCCGGAGTACCTTCAGCTTTTTAATTATTGTTTTTGGTCCGATCTACGCAGAATGAACTAACTGTATTTTGAAGTCTTGCAGTGGTATGCTTGGGTTTAGTTTCAATTTTATTAATTATAGGATCTCAAGCAGGTGGTAGTACCCAGCCTCATTCTCTATTGAAATTAGGATGTTTTTTAATTTCAATAGCCTCACGTATCATCCTTGGTAGGAATCAATGTTCTTTCGCGAGGATTTGTGGTCTATCAAATCTGATGTACCATTCTCCATCTAGAATATGATCGCAAACTGCAGACTTCCCGGAACGTTGATGCTTCACGTCAGCTATGTGTTCTTTTACGCGGGTTCTAATTGATCTCTTTGTTTGCCCTATATATGAGAGACCACAATCACAATCAAGCTTGTACACTCCTGCATCTTGTAGAGGAATATGACACTTGACGGATGGTAAGAACTGACTAATCTTCTTCGGCGGCTTGTAGAATGTTCTAATAGAAGCTCGCTTCAAGATGTAGCCAATCTTGTCTGTGACACCTCTGACATATGGTAGTATAGCAGGCACACGCTCGACTGTGGCCGGCTTCACTCGGTCACTGTGACGGAGGCGCGGGACCCGAAGCTTGTTGACGTGCAGAACCTGCTTGACGTGGTGAAGCTTGGCGGCCAGGTGTTTGCTGTCACAGATCCCTTGTGCTCTCTGAAACAAAGATTTGCCCACGGTAGCTAACTGTGAAGGATGATGGTGAGATTCACCATTTAAGTATCGGTTTGTATGCATCTTTTTTCTATACACAGTATGACCTATGGTGTTGTTAGGATTTCGGATGACTAACACATCTAGGAAAGCTAAGGAATTATTCCCCTCTAACTCCATAGTAAATTGAATTTTAGGGTTTATGGAATTAAGATGTTCTAAAAATGCAGTTATTTTGTCTCATGGTAAAATTGTGAAAGTATCGTCTACATACCGCTTGTAGAACCTTGGGGTAACAGGTGCAGTAAGAGGGAGGGCTTTCTCTTCAAAGTCTTCCATGAATATATCGGCGACAATGGGAGATACAGGTGAGCCCATCGCAACACCATCTACTTGCTTGTAAAACTCTTCCTTCCACAATAGATAGCCAGATGTAAGGCAATGTCTTAGTAGTACTGCATATTCTGGTGGCATGTTATTTTCATCTAGTTTCCTAGTTATAATTGAGATGCAGTCTTCAACAGGTAGGCATGTAAATAGAGACTGAACATCAAAACTGACCATGGTTTCATTGTCAGCAAGACGTAGGTCTTTTATCTCACTGACAAAATGGTATGAATCCTTAGTATGTGCTCTTGTGTGTCCTCTGAGTGGTCATAATATTTTGGCTAAGTGTTGAGCCAATCTGTTAGTTGGCGAATCGATTTGATTCACTATTGGGTGTAATGGAGTGTTAGGTTTGTGTATTTTTGGTAACCCATACAACTTGGGAGGTTTTGCACACGAAGGTATTATCGAATTGACGTCTAGATTCAATTTCTCGGAGTATTTCTTAATTAGATCGCTAGTTGTTTTAAGCGTATTAGTTGTAGGGTCTGTTTTGACCTTACGGTATGTACTTTCATCCGACAAAAGTTGTTGTATTTTAAAATTGTAATCCGACGTATCCATTACAACCGTAGCATTTCCTTTATCTGCGCGGAGAATCGTAAGCTCTGGTCTGTTGCGTAAGGTTTTTAACGCGTTTAATTCATTTTTGGGAAGATTTAATTTCGGCGCTGTACTTCGACGTAACATAGACGAAATGTCTTGGCGTATGGCCTCTAAATCTTCGTTACCAATATTATTTTTATACAGACAATCCTCAACATCCTCGGGTATTAAAATTAATATAAATAAAACGCGATAAAATCCGTAAAAGTAGTTTTAATCAACACAAATGTCTTGTTTACATAGTGATTATATATAATCATAGAATATATGTATACAATATATTTTATTTATTCACTACAATATATTTTATATATTTCACTTGTTTGGTTCAGCCACTTTGTAGGTCAGCCTGGACAGAAAATGGTTACTCATATTTTAATTTTCTTTTATAGAATTATGGTGACAAACAAGCACACAGTCCACCTGATGGTAAGTGCTGTGGCCCATAACATCTACATTTACCCTCGATTAATAATCAAAACGCAGATGCGTTGTCACCCCTGAGGATTAAGATAGAACGCCTCTATTTCAGTAAAAAAGAATCTCTACACTCACCATACGAAATACAGCAGTATTAAGCTGCTACTTTACGCTGGTATTCTGTGAGAGCGTGGTCCTTCCACGGTCGAGCCGACACATTCGTGCTACAACCATAATATAGCTGCAGTGTGGCTCTACCGTGTATAAATGCAAATAACTCGCTCTCTCTGCACTCAATAAAAGGCAATTATTAATATATTAATTATAATAATAAGGCTTAAATTTATTTTATAAAAATAGAATAAAAGCTAGTTAATTGTTAATAAACAATTTATTTCAATAAATATTATTTTGATATAATACTTTTAGTATTGGAATGCCGATACAGTTCTCGTTACTTTACGTCGTTTTATTATGTTTGAATATTTAATCAAATTTATTTTAATAATAATCTGGGACAGGAGCACAGGCTATCTTCACAAAGTCCTCGTACCGAACTGTGCCGTTATTGGAAACGTTCGCTTCACGGAATATGTTGTCCACCTGAAATTGTTAAAAGATAAAATATCCGCCTCTATAATAATAATGCTCTCCTTCTTTGAGATGTAAAGGTCAAATGGATGCAGGGGATTCTGTTGAACTGTACTTGGGTGCGGAAAGGCGGAACAACGATCAAAAAGTGAATTCCGATTATCCACTCCGTCTAGGGTTTCCGAGTATTCACCTTAAGGTGGATTTCTTAGGGTGGATGTGGACCCAATGACATTAGTGGAAGATTCACTAAGTGGTAGGATTCCGGAGTGGTAGGTTTGTCTGTTTAGATGTCACCTTTAACCTATTGCTGCTGCCAAATAATAGTGCTTGCAGTGTTGTGTTCTGGTCTGAAGGGTATAAAGAGGCAGTATAATTACAGGCTGTGGTGGTACTACAAGCTCTGAGTTGTAATGTGGTGAACTCGGGACTAATATATGAACGCCATCAACAATTAAATGAGCTATGTAAGCACATTAATGTGACTGCAATGAATTAAGGGCTACAGTGCATCCAGAGGCAACGATGCAGCAGATAAACTGGCTAGAAGAGGATTGGCTCTGGCCACTATAGGGCCGGAACCAATACTACCAATCCCCTTTAGCTATGTTCGTAGAAACATCAATAATTTACACGCTCCGCTTTGGAAAAATTAAGTAGACTGTAGACAAGCTAGGGAGGCCCTGCCTGAAATAAACAGTCGTCTAACCAAGGTTCTAAGGAGACTGAACAAGCCACAGATCAGGATAGTAACAAGTGCTATCACAGGACATGGCTCCTTTAATTAAAATTTGTTTACCATAGGCGTTACTGATAGTCCCCTGTGCAGGGCATGCATGGGGGAGGAAGAAACGGCGGCTCACGTTTTGCTGACATGTCCGGAGGTAGCTTCAAACAGGGCTAAACATCGCTCCCCGAAGTGCTTGCAACATCAAAGGGCTGTTGAGCTTCTTCGAAGAGATTTCATGTCTCGAATAATCACATTATTCCTGCCCACACGCAAAATAGGCGTGGAGTTGCGGAAAACAGCCTGTCGTAAACTAAGTAAGTAACTACAGACTGTGAAGTATTTCATCTTGGCCTTCAGAGATGATAACGCAAACTTTAGCCTTTTTAGTTAAAAATTGGCTGCAGGTGTTCCTCAACTGCAGTAGCCACTTATAAGCAGTCAGACTGTTAGTTCGTTTGTAACTTCAGTTTCTTATTATAAATAAATAGCAGTGCCAAAATTAATGTCCATTATTGCATTAGTCACAATTAGGTGGACTTCTTTTATAGACGAGGGAACTAAGCAAAGTAACTAACTATCGCCGCCCATGAACGACTGTAACACTGTATTATGAAAAGGCTTTTTCATGAAGTCTCTTTTCCAATACGTAGACTTGCGAAGAACAAAACCAGTTAGCTCGTTTGTCACTATTTATGGAAAGTGGTAAAATTAAAAAAAAATTGTACAACCAACTTCAAAAAATAAAAGTAAAGTAATCAACTTCAATATAAATAAAATTAGAACATCATCAATGTAATCGAAGTCCATTAAATACGCATTATTAAGGATAACTCAAAAACTAATAGCCAGATCTTGATCAAATTTATATGGGATCACATTAGAAGCACCAGCTTTCAAATAATAAAAGAACTATCTAAATCGGTTCACCTAGAGAAACGTTCTGAGGTAACACACATTAAAAAAAATGATTCAAATTGAGAATCTACTCCTTTTTTGAAGTCGGTTAAATAGTGCAATTTGCTAACTTGCAATTCTTCCCTGCTCAAAAAACTTAAGTCACCCAACGGCGGGACATACGTTGTTACTTATTTTTAATAGTCGACAGTTGGACATAGATCACTCACAAGATGGGAGGATTTTCCATAATCGTAACACTCCACACAGTTGTCATGGCTTTTTTGCAAATCCCAAAAATACACTAATAGGTTAAGGTAAAATCTGACAATGTCAAATTACCTCACGCTGTGACAGACCCTCTCCCCAATTCTGCAGCAAATTACGCAGCTGCTTAGCTGGCACCACTCCTTTCTTCTCTGGGTCTCCAGCTCTGAATGCATTCACCACCTGGTATATCAAAGATTCGTCTTGAATGTATTTATAAAACTTTGTAATGAGTTGTTAAACTGATTGTGAAGCTTTCTATTTTAGTTTTCAGACGTGATGACGCAACTGCAGCCTCCTTTTTATTCCCAAAAGTGTTTCAGGGCAGAAAGAACTCTCGCAAACTATCCATTTGCATGTTTATCTTAATCACTAAACATACATAAATTTACACCCAAAATCACATAAAAAAATTTCATTGATCATCTCCACAGGGAGATGAATTGTGATGTTCCCACACTATATGGAATATTGGTACATGGTAGAGCCACGTTACAGCTATATTATGGTTGTGGCATGAATGGGTCGACTCAACCAGGTAAGGACCACGCTCTCACAGAATACTAGCGTAAAATAGCAGCTTAATACAGCTGTGTTTTGTATGGTGAGTGCAGAGATCTGGATACCCTTTTTTACTGGAAATGAAGCATTTCATCTTAGTCCTCATGGGTGATAAAGCATCTGCATTTTGATTCTTAATCGAGGATAAATGTAGAAGTCTATGGGCCACAGCATCCACTTCCCATCAGGTGGACTGTGTGCTTGATTGCCACCTCTTATTCTATATAAAAGGTGTGTGCTTATTCCCAGAGTCATGCTCATGACAGGTATAAAAATTAAGTTTACATAAAAACAGTATGTAATAAGTAATAAACAAATTTAGAGGTAGATATCTATGGGCCACAGCATCCAAATACCATCAAATGGACTGTATTTTTGTAAAAATTCGATTCATTTTGTATATACACTTTAGTATAAGGAATCATTTATTTATTTATTTGCTTTTTAAGGGAAACATACGGAACAAAAAATCATGTAGGTAAATTCAATAAAAAAATATTTGTTTTTGAAATATAATTACAAACTAGTTACCTCATTTGGTAGATTTTCCGCTCGGGAATGTATATGCATTACTTCTAAAAAATCAGCAAAGGACATTTTGCCGCCTTTACCCTTTAGATAACCTAAACAAGGAAAAATTTATATATGAGATATTTGAAATCAGTAGACAGTAAACAGTAGGCATGCTGTCAACATCTAACACAAGTCATACTCATGGTAAATCCTTACAATGAGATCACTTCTGATAAATATAATATTTTGGTGAAACCACTAGGTCTAAAATTGTCAGCTTTTTGGCTACTATTTTGGTGGCTTTGGGAGCTAATTACAAACAACTACTACCTTACTAAATAATAAATTACCTATTTAAAAAAAATCTTTGGCAATGCCTTATAGGGTAACCAGTACTTTATTAATTTATTTAGAGGAATATGGCATAATTTAGTCTTAACCCCTCAATCTCAATAAAAATGCCATGCTATCGCATGCACCCGGCAAATCCCGAGTGGTCGCATGCGACCACACCCACCTGCAGCATTTAAAACCATTAAAATTTATATTTAGAGACTACTTTTCAATGGAGAAGTTTGGCATTATGAGTTTGGCTTGGAGACTGAGGGATTAATATTGATCAGTACTTGGTAGCATGTCCCACTCCAACCTGCTGTAACAAGTCCACAATTCATTCTAAGTGGAATTCCCGCTCAGTGGCTCAGTATCAGAATTAATAAGGTAGTCTGGGATCAAGTCGGAGCAGTCAGTACTATCGATTCAGTATCCAAATTATAATTGAACATACATGTACTAATAATGTAAGGGATTCTTATTTCCAGATTCATATCTGGACCTTCACATTTCTAAAGCAAGCAAGGCATTGGCAATAAGTAATCCTTAATATACAGTTTTCCATCTTTCAGCTACAAGCTCTAGAAATCTGATAAAGGTGAAAATGAATAAGTTAAATACAAAAAAAAAAAAAGAAACAATAGTCCCAATAAGGACTGCGGACAGAAGTGAAAACTCAATGATATATGCATGTACATCTACACAGGTCTCTATATGCAGACAAGCACAATATGTCACACACATGTCGAGGTAATTGATAATATGAACCCATAAGTTTTCCCTGTACCAAATGTCACTCAATGCGATGAAAGAATTTTTAACTTCAAAAATTAATAAACTTTGTATTAAATTAAATATGTACTATACCTGTAAGCTCCTGAATAGTAGGACTCATGCCTAATGAACGCATAACCACTGTCAATTCATCAAGGGATGTAATCTGACCAGAGCGTGCAAACAGATAAAAGCATTCCCTGAATTCTGAAAGTAAGAAAAAAAAATCTTGGACTAAAATAATATTTAAACCCAAAAGTTGTGGTTATATTATGTGCTTTGGAACAGTTTATTAAGGATGATTTCACTTTGTAGCCGCTACACGCTAAAGTTCTTTATTTCTTTTCTGCGTGGCACGACTCCCTTATCGGATTGAATAAAAGTAATTGTAAGTATGACTGTAAATCAGTAGTCTAGTAGTAGTAGTTTTTTTTATATGAAAATAATGTATGACTTAAACAGATAATAATGACACTTCCTGAATTATTGATTTAAATTACAATTTATCAACTTGTAATTAATAGGACGTTGCAGTATTTGCAATCTTACCATCAATATCTTGTTCCTTGAAATAGCGAGCCTGAAACAAGTATAGCAATATTTATAATACTGTACTAAATAAATTATTTTATACATACAATGAATCTTATGATATTACCATTTTTAAAGTTTCTAAGGCTGACTTAAATAACAAGAAAACAGGAAAAATGCAATCGAGTGAAAGTTTTCAAGTTTTCACCATAGATAAATAAATACAGCAAGGTAAGCTTTTGAGATTTATCAAAAGTTTTGACATTGACAGTTTGCCACAGGAGAAGGAGTTTGTTCGCGACGTTTTTTTAATTAACTGGCTTTACGGCTCTGGGTTCTAGTCTTTCTGAGATTTGCAACCCCTACACTCCATAGCATGGAGGTTGAGAACAGGATTTTTTTATTAACTGGCTTTACGGCTCTGGGGTCCAGCCCTTCAGAGCCTATCATATCTTTCAGAATCTTCATTTATATATTCTTTTTCTTCACTATATGGCGATGCTTCACATTGCGAATCCTTTGGGAGATTTTGACGACAGTTCAACCCAGCGGACAATTAATGACGATAGCCACTCAAGTTCATAAGGCGCCCAAGCGATCAAAATAACTTGAGGTTTATTTCGACATCAAAGCACTTGTTTCGTCGTTTTCTTTAATAGTTCACACGCACGGACACTTAATTCACAAAATCGCATCACTTATTACGAATCAAAATCCACTTTAAACCATCATTCAAGCGAGAAAACAGGAGTGACAATCCGTCTACGGCCAAGTTCCCGCCAAAAACTCTAGAGAACCGGAGAACGATCGCTACCATGGAGGTTAGAGAACAGGAGAACGATCGCTACATGCTAAAGCATAGCCTGCCTGTCCCTGAAAATTTGTAGGATTTATAGCGGCGCTGCCGTTGGTGAGTAGTAGCTGTTCGCATTCGCACACGAAAAACATAGATTTATGCATACGTCTTGCATAAAAATGAGATAGAGTGTTGAGATTGTTTGTCCCTTTCTGCGTTCCGGTTTTTTTGTTTAGCAAACTACAACTAAACAACTTTGACAGTTCGTAGCGATCTAAGGAGTTTACAAGTTGGTTTAAGTGAGAAAAAAAGTGTTTTATGAGCTTAAGATTGGGGAATCTTGTTCAGTTCAGTTCTTAGAACAATTAAAAATTTTAACTAAATATGTTTAAAAGTCATAAAGATTATTGTATAACCTAAAACTACGTTATCGTTCTTTCTCACTCGAGGCAACGCTAATCATTAATCTATAGGTTTCTCTGTCTACGTACTATAATAATACCATAGAAAACGTACATTGTCATAGACAAAAGAGTATTAACTAGTAATGTACCAGTACAAATAATTAATGCCGATATCGGTACTGATATTTTTGTTTATGGTAAAATCACAAAAGCGTGGAATCATATCCTCAGGTTTATGATATGGTGTATTTGATTTTCAGAGTTTAGTATCTGTACATGACTATCATCATTATACTTAGGCGGCGCGGTGGAAGGGGCCGTAATTTCAATAGCATTCGAGGTTATCAATTCTTTTTAACCAAACTTCTGAAAAAACATCAAGCGCTAGTGAAAATTGGCCCCGCAACCTTATTAAAAACCACAGAATACTTTTTATACTAATTGGAAACAGATTAATCAATACAACAATAATATTTAAAAAATATTTATATTTTTATTATTTCACACAAATTCTATGTATCACACATTATAATACGAAATAAATAAACAAATTATTGTCCTTTAAAAATCATTGTTTTATTTAAAAATGTCCTAATTTTTCCTTTAGGAGCAGAAAACTTTTTTGGTAATGTAGTGAATCATAATATAATCATTTGATGATCAACTTTTTATTCTTTTTATGATTATTATTTTTATGATCGTCCAGTAAATCATTGACAAAAAAATGCTTGTTGAAAAATATTTAGGCAGTCCTAAGAATTTGGAGCCTATTCTAATTTCGAACTCGCGCAGTATTTTTTCTGCAGTTTTATACATCTTTTTTACACCTTTCGAAGGTTTAGTCAGGCCTCCTCTCTCTTTAATAGATATCAAAGAGAACGAATTCTCAGCACTATTATTTTCCAAACTTTGGTGACATTTTTCACATATAACTTCCTTTTTTATTTTTCTGACTACATAACCAGCTTTATAATCTTCTGCGTGTTGGGCGTATTCTGTTAAATTTGAGGCACGTAAAATATAATCATGGTCAGAATAGTTCTCGGGATTAATGTTCACATCAGACACTAAGCAATCAAATTTAATATAATATGTGATACATTGTATTTTCATGCGACGGCCCAAGTCAATCTATTTATTTAAAACATAAATGATTTTTAATATTCATATGGTCACAACAAGATGTTGTTATGTTAGCTAATCACGTAGTAACTTAAGACAGAAGGGCCCTTAAGTAGATACTGAATAAATTAACCGACTTGGTATTACATGGATCTCCTATCTTTTTACGATAGAAGAACTGAGTTGCAAGACTTGATTTTTTTACAAGTTATGTTATTGATGGCATTTAATTTTACCCTTTCTTTAACAACTTCAAAGGCCTCCGTAGTGAATTCTGGATCACATTGGATACATTGATACCACTTGCATATTCTTTTTGGGTGTGGCAAAATATCTTTTAATTCATTGCGCACATACTCGTATGCTCGCGGTGATAAATAATTTAAAGTGACTGCGAATTCTTTCAATTCCAAAGAGTATTTACGCTTATCTTCTCCCATTTCTTTTCGTAAATATTTTTTTTATTGGATTATTTTTCACTGAATCTCATCATCATCATCATCATTACAGCCCTTCACAAGTCCACTGCTGAACATAGGCCTCCCCCAAGTAACGCCACAAAGCACGGTCCTGGGCCACTTGCATCCATCGACCTCCTGCATGTCTTAACAGGTCGTCACTCCATCCAGTGGGGGGTCGCCCTACACTACGCCTACCGGTACGAGGCTGCCACTCGAGAACCTTTCTTCCCCATCGGTTATCGGTTCTTCGAGCTATATGGCCGGCCCATTGCCACTTCAGCTTACTAATCCGTTGGGCTATGTCGGTCACTCTGGTTTTACTGCGGATATCCTCATTTCTGAGTCTATCACGCAGAGAAACTCCGAGCATAGCCCTCTCCACAGCTCGCTGAGCGACCTTGAGCGTCCTCATACGGCCAGCAGTGAAGGACCACGTCTCAGATCCGTAAGTCATCACTGGCAACACGCACTGGTTATACACTTTAGTTTTCAGAGATTGAGGTATACCTGACGAGAAGATGTGTCGTAATTTCCCGAACGCTGCCCAGCCGAGTTGAATCCGTCGATTGACCTCTCGGTCGAAGTTGGACTTACCTAGTCGGACTATTTGTCCCAGGTAAACGTCCTTTCTCGTCCTAACTCGTCAACAACTTCGAGCATAGTGCTCCCCACAACTACCGGCATAGGTGTGACATGGACATTGAACATAATCTTTGTTTTGTCCATGTTCATCTTAAGACCTATCCGTTGGGAGACACCATTGAGGTCATTGAGCATAGTGCTAAGGTCCTCCAGCGATTCTGCCATAACGACTATATCGTCGGCAAATCGAAGGTGAGTGATGTCCTCGCCATTGGTGTTAATACCGTATCCTTTCCAGTCCAGTACCTTGAAAACGTCTTCCAACGCAGCGGTGAAGAGTTTCGAGGATATAACGTCACCCTGTCTTACACCTCTCTGCAGTTGGATAGGTTTTGAACTCTGGTTCTGTACTCGGATAGCCATCGTAGCCCTACTGTACAAACACTTCAGCACTTCGATATACCGACAGTCAACTTGGCACCGCTGAAGGGACTGTAGCACCACCCAAATTTCGACGGAATCAAAGGCTTTCTCATAGTCCACATACGCCAGGCAAAGTGGCAGATTGTACTCCTCGGTCTTCTGTACAATCTGCCGCAGGGTATGTATGTGGTCTATGGTACTGAAGCCTTTTCGGAAACCGGCTTGTTCGGGTGGCTGGAAGTCGTCGAGTCTGCGTGCGAGACGATTCGTAATGACTCTCGAAAACAGCACGTAGACGCGGCTCAGAAGGGAAATCGGTCTGTAGTTCTTCAAGAGAGCTTTGTCGCCTTTCTTAAAGAACAAGACCACCGCACTTCTGCTCCACGCCTCCGGAGTAGTGCCACCATGGAGGACGGAATTGAAGAGCTTCTGAATGACTTCAAGTACCGTCGTTCCACCCGCTTTCAGAAGCTCCGCTGTAATTCCATCCTCACCTGGGGCCCTGCCGTTTTTAAGGTTCTGGAGATCCATTCTAATCTCGCTTAGACTGACGTCCGGGATATCATCGGAATAGTGTCGGATACCACTTGCTCTTGGATCGTTACTTACACTTGTGTGTGCTCCAACGATGATGTGTACAGCTGCCCATAGAACCTCTCAATCTCACTCAAAATCTCAGGCGTCCAGGAAACGATGCTGCCACACTCAGTCTTCAGCTTTGACAGTTGGCTCTTTCTGGCAGACAGATCTCTGGCAAAGAGTACGGAGCCCTGGTTCCGCTCGATCGCTTCTTTAATACGAGCAGTATTAAAGTTGCGTAAGTCTTGCCGCATGCATTTGGAGATCTGTCTGTTCAGTTGCCTGTATGCTGTCAAATCTGTTGACGATTGTAGCCTCATCTCCCGTCTAACAGCCATGAGATTAAGAGTGTGATCGGAGAGTTTTTGTGTTCTTCTGCGGCGGGTCTTGCAGAACTTAGCTCCGACCGCATGGACATTTTCCACGAGCTTGTCATTCATATCGTCCATTGCATTGCAATCTTCTAGGCACTGAAATCGGTTACGTAACTCGAGCTGAAAAGTCTCGGGATTCTGGATTAGAGCACGAGGGGGGACGGAGCGTTGACTTCTTTAGACGAGACCTTTCCAACTTAACGTTTAAGTTCAGTGTGCCTCTAACCATTCGGTGATCGCTGCCGGTTTTCACCCTTGCGATCACTGAGACATCACTGAACAGTTGGCGTCTGGTCGTCATAATGAAGTCAATCTAATTTTTTGTCGAACCGTCGGGGCTCGACTAGGTCCACTTCCTGTGGGCCGCGCTTCTGGAAGAAAGAGTTCATCATAAAGAGTCCCTCTTTCTCCATAAAGTCAGCCAGCTGCTGGCCCCATACGGTTCCGTTGCCCTACTCCAATTTCCCTTACTTCAGCTCACCGCCTTCTCTTGTGCCTAGTTTTGCGTTGAACTCTCCCATCAACACCGTGTAGTGTACTTGAATCTACTATAAGTAAATTCTCTTTTTCTATTTTTTCTTCATTCAAATTTTTTTCTAATCTTAACTTTAAACCAAGATTTTTATTTTTTAAACGTCTTGTCTTTTGACGCAAACAATTTATTTTCAACAGTCGTTGTTTGGCAACTTTTTGCAGTTTTTCTAAATCCTGTTCTAATTTAGATACATGCCTAATTAATTCTTGCTGACTTGGTATCGAACTAAATGTAACTATAGTAGTTAATTTTACACTAGAATCAGATGTGCTGGTTGATGTTGCACTAGATCGTTTAGGTGCGATTGTCGGTATTGAACTGCATGTTGAAGCAATATCCACACACTGGATTTTGATGAAGTTGCCAGTGTCGATGCAGGACTGCTATAGTTCTAGAACAATTTAGTTATTTTATGTTATTTTGCATCATAGGAAAAATAAACAATGCGGGGAAATAATAATGAACAATTGTGAGTTTTAAGGGTTTGGTACTTAATGTCAAAATATCAACACTGCGTAATCAGCAATTTAATTTTTAAACAAATCAAAACAACAGTGATGTACAACATAAAGAGATTTATTGTAAAAACTATCTTACTGTATAAAGTTTGTTGTCCCGCAGATGTAGTGAAGGTATAGCATTTAATTTCAGCCTGCGCCATTTGTGTTCAAAATTTATAAAGCAATCATCTTTTAAATGTCTGGAACAAATACGGTGGTGCTTTTTCCACTCCCAATTGCGACGTGCAATAGCGTCGATCCATATTTGTCTTAAATTGATGTCCGTAGGAAAACCGTAATTTAATCGTAAAACTATCGATAATTTATACTAGAGATATATTTTTCCCACACTATTACCAAAACCACTGCAGAGAGGTGTAAGACGGGGTGACGTTATTTCCCCGAAACTCTTAACCACTGCATTGGAAGACGTTTTTAAGCTACTGGGCTGGAAAAGATACGGTATTAACATCAATGGCGAATACATCACTCACCTTCGATTTGCCGACGATATAGTCCCTATGGCAGAATCGCTGGAGGACTTAAGCACTATGCTCAATGACCTAAATAGTGCCTTCCAACGGATAAGTCTTAAGATGAACATGGACAAAACAAAGATTATGTTTAATGTCCATGTCACACCTATGCCGGTAGTTGTTGGGAGCACTAAGCTCGAAGTTGTTGACGAGTACGTTTACCTGGGACAAATAGTCCGACTACGTAAGTCCAACTTCGACCGAGAGGTCAATCGACGGATTCAACTCGGCTGGGCAGCGTTTGGGAAGTTACGACGCATCTTCTCGTCAGGTATACCTCAAAACCTTAAAACTAAGTTGTACTACCAGTGCGTGTTGCCAGTGATGACCTACGGAACCGAGACGTAGTCCTTCACTGCTGGCCGTATGAGGACGCTCGGAGTTTCTCTACGTAATAAACTTAGAAATGAGGATATCCGCAGTAGAACCGGAGTGACCGACAGAGCCCAACGGATTGGTAAGCTGAAGTGGCAATGGGCCAGCCATTTAGCTCGAAGAACCGACAACCGTTGGGGAAAAAAGGTTCTCGAGTGGCAGCCTCGTACCGGTAGGTGAAGTGTAGGGTGTAGATGGAATGACGATCTGGGAAGACGTGCAGGAAGTCGATGGATGCAGGTGGCTCAGGACCGTGCTTTGTGGCATTACTTGCGGGAGGTCTATGTTCAGCAGTGGACTTGTGAAGGGCTGTAACGATGATGATGATGATGATTACCAAAATATTAACTCAAATTTTTAAACAGGAAATATTTAATTTTATTACTTTAAAATAGGAAAAAAACTTAATTTATTAAAAAATTATTCGATTTCAAAGTAAGAATGACAAAAAACGTGAATTTCTATCATTTGAAAATGCTCGTAAATAGTGATTCAAATGTTGAAACAATGACTTACCGGTGAAAGCTAATGTTTTCGGGGTCGTTTTCTTTCCTAGAGAAATGGGATTTACACCCCACTATAATGCAGGACATTGTTCTTTTTATATTTCGGTTCACATTTTCCCACTGCGAAAAAAATATAATTTCCAAGCGAAAACTCAATTTTAATACAGACAACCAGATGACTAGCCAGCGTATTTTACGAACATTTTAAGATGACAAGCCATAGACAAAAAACTTTTTTTTAAATCTTTTTTTTTCAAATTAGTACCACAAAGGTAACTAAGGTATCTAAACTGACGTTTGCCGAATGTACATTGGTACCTATTGACAAATTACTCTTTCTGACATTCTTTGAAAAAACAAGAGATGTATATATAGCTGTTAGACAGGCTCCTTCTATGCTTTAGTTATTGTTCTGAGCAAAGGAACGAAGTTTCGAGCCTGAAGTGACCCTGTACATTACTCGGCTTACTTCTACAAAGTTAACGTTGTGCTGTTTAATATAAAAACGTTTTAATTCAGTCCAAATTGCTGAAGTTAAAAATGAATTGGTCACAAGAGCAAATTCTATT